CTGGCTGTTAATTCCCTTTCTCCTGCTCTTCCCGCTTGCTACTTCGGGCATCCCTGAGTTGTCTCTCCTCACCTGTAACCCTGGGGCTGACTGCTCTTCTGTCCAGGTTCCTGGCTTTTTATCCCTTCTCCTGCTCTTCCGGCCTGCTACTCTGGGCGGGCCTGAGTTGCCTCTCCTCACCTAATCCCTTCGGCTGACTGCTCTTCTCTCTGACTTTCTGGCTTTTAATCTCCTTTCTCCTGCTCTTCCCACTTGCTACTTTGGGCGTCCCTGAGTTGTCTCTCCTCACCTTTAACCCTGGGGCTGACTGCTCTTCTGTCCGGGTTCCTGGCTTTTTATCCCTTCTCCTGCTCTTCCGGCCTGCTACTCTGGGCTGGCCTGAGTTGCCTCTCCTCACCTAATCCCTTCGGCTGACTGCTTTTCTCTCTGGCTTCCTGGCTTTTAATCCCCTTTCTCCTGCTCTTCCCACTTGCTACTTCGGGTGTCCCTGAGTTGTCTCTCCTCACCTGTAACAAATATAAGTACTAATAATAAAATAGCTTGAACTTAATGTTTGCTTTTTAATGTTTGAGATTTATTTTTTAGTCAAGCAAACTGAGTAACTATTTGAGTAGTGATTTTTTTTTCCTTAGTTGCAAAGATGCCTTTATAGATAAGGTATTTCTTAACCTTCCCATAGGTAGTCATGGTTCCTTATCTGAACATACTATCTACACTTATGGTTGGTCAGATTGCTCAGCCAGAAGAAAGAAGTGAACCCATCCATTGCCATCTGATGCAAGGGCCTAGAAACATCTTTAAAAAAAATAATAAAGCATATGCTGTTGCTCTTAAGAACTTCAGTTTGTTAAGGCCAAGCTAGTAAGCCTTTGAATGTGTCATTTCATTATTTTATTTTCTCTTAGAAATAACTTAAAGGAGCTCTGTTGGCACAATGGTTAAGTCACTCGACTGCTAACCAAAAGATCAGTGGTTCAAACCCACCAGCCCTCCATGGAAGAAAGATGAGTCAGTCTGCTTCTATAAAGATTTACTTCTTTATACTTATATTTACTTCCAAAGTTTCTATAAAGCTTTGGAAACCCTATGGAACAGTTTTACTCTGTCCTGTAGGGTTGCTATGAGTTAGGATTGACTTGGCAGTGGGTTTGGTTTGGTTTTAGTTTAGAAATAATTTAAGAGGTTATCATTTAAGAGGCCATAAAACACCTTAGATTTAGTTATAATTTCAGATCAGTCCCATTAAAAATTATTCTTGTATTTCAGGTAATTTCTCGGCATACTCGGGACCTACTAGGAATCGAAGAGCCATTGTTCAAACGCTCCATCACTCTTCCCTACAGGGACACTATAGGTTTGTTTTTAGAACAAAAAAGTCATAGTGGGGTAAAGTCTAATTCTTTGACCTTATCCGAATTTGTCCAAGCAGCAGGATTACAGGATTATACTCCACATATAACTTCCTCTGAAGAGAATTAGCCATTATTCTGAACCATAGTGAAAAAAAAAACGTTTCACGTAGCTCAAAAGTTCAAACTAAATTACTTTGGGGAAGAAGTGTAGTCTTTTTGGTTTTTCCTTTTCTCCTTTTCATTTAACTCCTTTTCAGAGTTAAAACTGCCTGCTTCCTAGTTCTACCACCCACTCAGGGTCTTGTCCCTTTATTTGTTTCAATTTAGCCCCACGTTAAAACAAAGTAGTAATACTTACCTTTGTTGTTAACTAAGAATTCCTGGTAAATTCTAGTAATATGTCTGGTAGTAGAAATGTGTTGGGTAAATATGATTAAAAATAAAATCTCCTGCTGACCCAGATATTCTTCTCCACAAATTCAGAATTTTTTTTTTTTTTTTTAATCAAACAAGCATTGAACCAGACTGCGGTACACATCACAGGCAATCTGCTAAAGAGAATTCAAAGACAGAAAGAAATCTCATACTTTTATATAGCCAAGCAGACACAGCATTACATACATGTTAATTGTCTTTATCCAAAGGAAAATTAATACAATAAAAAATGAAAGAGAAAAAAAATGAAAACTTCCGTCTTTATGACAAATGGGAAGAAGTTCCTGTTGGAACCAGTTGCTTAGAGTGACCTCCCACGGAGCCAGATGCCATCCTCCTCGATGCTCACACTTCAAGGGGATGGCACCGAGGGCCCCAGAAAAGATGTCCCCAGGATGGAAAACTGGCAAGAGGCTTATTATATTAGCTTTTACACAGATTTACATATATCTCAAAGAGACAAAGAAAGGATTTACATACAAGTTTTCTAGAGGAAATGTTTTGAGATAAATGATGGAGGCACCAGAGAAAAGCCAAACATTTTTTTGTTTAGATTTCTAGTACTCTTACCAATGACATGACTTGTAGATGTACCAATGACTTCGGAGTAGGATCCCTGGTGGCCCAGTGGTTAAGTGCTTGGTTGGTAACCAGAAGGTCAGTAGTTTGAACCTACCCATTGGATCTGGAGTAGGATCTGGAGTTTGCTTACAAGGCTCTTTTATGTGGTACTTTTCAGAATGTTATAAAATGCAATTCAGGCCAGAGGCTACCCAGGATAACTTCTCAAAAGAAACTACAAAATATTTCTAGTTACTTGACTGACTCTAGTTCCCCTCTAGTTTCACAGATTCAACTGCTTTTTTTTTCTGCCTATCTCACTTAATCCTAAAGACCTCTATCCAAACCAAACGCATTGCTGTCAAGTGGACTCTGACTCATAGTGATCCAATGGGACAAAACAGAACTGCCCCACAGGGTTTCTAAGGCTATAAAAGTCTTTACAGAAGCAGACTGACACATCTTTCTGCCTCGGAGCAATGGGTAGGTTCAAACTACTGACCTTCTGGTTACCAACCAAGCACTTAACCACTGGGCCACCAGGGATCCATAAAAATTGCTGTAGGGCTAACATAATCCAGAAGGACAGTGATATACCTTAATATACCCAGTCCAATTCCCTACAGGAGCTCTGGTGACATAGCACTTAAGGCATTTGACTGCTAACCAGAAGGCTGGCGGTTCAAACCCACCAGCCACTTCTTGGAAGGAAGATACCACCTCAGAGACCCAAGGAGGGGTTGCTATGAAATATTCAAAGGACCATGGGATTTTGTTTTCCACCACTGAGGAACATTACCTCAAAGTAGCATTTATGTCAAGTGTTAATATTTGCTGATGACTCTAACTGCCCTTCCCCCAAATGAGACTAATAAGATTTTATCTGAAATCATTCTAACATCATACTATTGAATTTGCCTGGCTCACTATTATGCAAAAATCAAAATGTAAATGTTTACCCTGAGACCTGAGTGATTTGCATGTATGGTGAATGGCTTTGTTCAAACGCACTTTAGCATTTAGCAAACAATCTTCTGTTCAATGGTAAAGCATCGTAATGATGTCCTTTTCCAATTACATGGGGTCACTGTTACTGTTTTATATTCTACTCTAATGAACAAAAAGTATTTGCAAAACATAAAGGAAATAAATCTGCATGTTAGAAATAAGTTCTATACTATGCAAAATTATTTTAGTCATTTTATATAAAGCCAGCTATTTTTTAAATGATGAGAACAGCTTTAAATAAGATAGTCAGAAGGTCATAATTAGCTGAAACAAGCATGAAATGAGTCATAATTCAATTAGGATCATTTACTATACATTCATCAAGAAACGGTAGGAAAATCAAGCTCTGTCATTACTTAGGACTACTAGGAAAGAAGCTGCAGTATGGAACTATCCAATAATATGACATTAGAATTTCTTGAATTTAGCTTTTAAGAGAGAAGTCATTTGTATCAATAGGCTTTCCTGAGAAAACCATCTTACTTAAGTGGGTTAGGTTATACAATTTCATTTGATTGTTTCCTAAACCCAGACACACCCAAGCATACTGATGTAAGGACCTCTTGTTCCACACTTAAAGAGCTTCAGTTCATGCTTCTAATTCCTTAGTGCCTAATTTGTGGCAAATTTGGTAAGCACAATATAGTCACATAACTCCCACTGTCCACTATGGTAATCAGGGCACACCCAGTTTAGAACTAATCTGTGAGACAGAAAATTCCTGAATCCTGGGGTCTCTTATTGGGATGGAGAGCCAGTAGAAACCGATGGCTCGTCTTCTTTGGATAGGGAGATGCCAAATGAGTGACAGTAAAAATGGGTGAGGTGGTTCTGGAGAGCAGTACTCTTTGAAAGATGCTGGCTGAAGGGAGTTTCCTTGAGTTGCACTGCAACCAGATCAAACCAAGGGAAAGGCCTGGGGTGAAAAATAAATACATAAATGCTGTTATTTGTTTTTGTCTTTTCAGTACATCTAATTTGGCTGGTAAATGCTTCCTTTAATGAAAATTTTCTTCTACTTGGAAATAAGATTCTTCATTTTCTATACCAAACTAATTAAAATTCATAATTCATTAAACTAGTAATTCAGCTGGAGCTATTCAGTCTATGGATTTAATTGTTCCTGATTTCATACTCTTGCTCATTTCTCTAAGTGTGTTTGGAGAAGAATTCATAACTAGAGGATTACTATAATATTGGCACTGAGATCCTTTTCAGTATATTTTCCTTAAATTTAAGAGAAGGATATATGAAGATCATGGACATTAGGAATGGAAAAGGTCAAATTTCTTTTAAGATAATCTTCTTCATTTATGTAGGAAAAGGAGCATAAGTTTATATGCACATGAAAATGAGGGCAATGCCTGTATTAATCAATAGTAGAATTCAAGTCAAAAAGCATTAAGACAGTGGATTTTTCATTGTTAAAAAGATCAGGAATGATACCAGCTCTCATCATTCTCATTCAGCATAGTACTAGAAGTTCTAGCCAGTGCAATAAAGCAAGAAAAAGAATTAAAAGGCACACAGATTAGAAAGGAAGAAATAAAACTGTGTTCCTATTTGTAGATGATATAATTATTTATATACAAAATCCCAAGGAATCTACAGAATCTTCTAGTACTAAGAGTTTAGCAAGGATACAGGATGCAAGATAAACATACAAAAATTGTATTTCTACATACCAGCAATGAACACCAAAATTTAAAATGCAATAACATTTGTAATCTCAAAAAAACACTTAGGTGTACACCTAACAAAACATGTACAGGACTTGCATACTGAAAATTATGAAATTAAAGATCTAAATAAATGGAGAGACATATTGTATTCATGGATGGGGAGACAACATAGTAACGATGTCAGTTCTCTACAAATTGGTATATAGATGTAATGCTAAAAAATAAAATTCAAAAATTACAATACCAAATGTTGGCAAGGATGCAGAGAAGCTGGATCACTCATACACTGTTACTGGCAATGTAAAATAATACAAGCACTCTGGAAAAGGTTTGACAGCATCTTTAAAAAATTAACATGCAACCACCATATGACCCAGCAATTGCACTCCTGAGGTTTTATCCCAGAGAAATGAAAACTTATGTTTGCACAAAAACTTGAGTGTGAATATTCACAGCAGCCTATTCAAATAGCAAAAATTGGAAACAACCCAGTTGTCCTGCAGCAGGTGAATGGTTAAAACAAACTGGTATATCTTTGCCATAAAATACTACTCAGCAGTGAAAAGTAAATTTCCAGGGAATTATGCTGAATGCAAAAGATGGCATATTATATGATTCCATTTATATAACATTCTTGAAATGACAAAATTATAGAAATGGAGAACAGCTCAGTAGTTGCCCAGTTAGTGGAGCAGGAATAGGGAAGAGCCAACAATGAGGTATCTTTGTGATGATAGAAATGTTCTGTATCAATGTTAGTATCCTGGTTGTGATGATGTACCATAGTTTTGCAAGATATTTGTCTAGAATAGACAGATGCACTGATACCAGAGTTTCTTGGTGGTTACTGTAGACAGGAGTGAGAGGGAAAGAGGGAATTATAGCTAAAGGTGCACCAAGTTTCTGTTAAGGGATGAACAAATTTGAAAATTAATAGCAGTGATGTTTGCATGACCTGGTGAATGTAATTAATATCACTGAATTGTACATGTAAGAAATCCTTAAATGGCAAATGTTATTATTTTAAACAACAACAAAAAAAAACCAACCTAACTCACTGCCATCAAGTTGATTCTGACTCATAGTGATGCTTCCTTGGGTTTCCAAGGCAGTATCTCTACAGAAATAGATTGCCCAGTCTTTGTCCTGAGGAGTGGCTGGTGGGTTTGAAATGCCAACTTTCTGGTTAGCAGCTGCTTGAACAATTTCTCTTAGAAAGATCAGCATGAGGCTGGTCCCCATGAGGCGGAGGTCAAAGATGTCCCAAATGTCCAAACTACCATGCCACTCCATCATCTCAGACATTAACCCCTCCTCCTCCTCCCAGTAATTTCCCCAGTCTTAGGGTTCTGAATTTC